GTGGTAAGGAATGGGGTCTGTGCATTTTGGAAAAAACTTCTCATGCTATTCTTAAGGTACACATCACACCTTCCATCACCATCAACATCACCATTCTTCTCTTGAAAATGTCTCCCTACTCATCTCTAAACTCTTAGAAAATAGGGAACTGTATCTTATTTATCATTTTATCTCCAGCTCTTAGCTTTTTGTGGCATCTGTGCTTGTAAGGTAGTCAGTAAATGTTCCCAGCAGGAAGGTAAAACTAGGAGTTTAGAGGTAGGAGAGATTAATTTTGACTCAGAAGAGCATGAAGACTATAAAAGGGTTACCTGAGAGGAGTTATGAAAAGAGCTGTTGAGCTAGTTTTATGGAAATGGATGAGAGCATTTCACACAAGAGGGATGAGCAAAAGCAGAAGCAGGGAAGTGTGGTATGTATTCCAGGAATTCTTGGGCAAAAATTTCAGGGTGTGTGAAGTGGGAAAAGCCTAGAGAATTTGCTTGTGTTCAGTGGGATTGTGCATACTCTTGTATGGAATTGGAACTTCATTTGTAGGTGGTAGAGAGTCACTGAAAAAATTTTTTTTTGAAGACTTTTTATTTATTTGAGAGAGAGAATGAGATAGCGTGAGAGGGGGGAGGGTCAGAGGGAGAAGCAGACTCCCTGCTGAGCAGGGAGCCCGATGCGGGACTCGATCCCGGGACTCCAGGATCATGACCTGAGCCGAAGGCAGTCGCTTAACCAACTGAGCCACCCAGGCGCCCTGAAAAATTTTTACAATGGCATAACTTAATTCATCTATCAGCAGCTTGGTATATTTGTCACTGTGTAGGTGAGGTTATGGGTAGGTAGAAAGTGGAGACTGGGGCTTCAGTTAAAATTAGCATTTTAGGTACAGTTAGAGTCTAAATTAGAATGACAGTGAAGAAAGAAGAGGGAGTTGATGCCAGAGATATTTTAGAGGAGAGATCAGTAAGTCTTGGCTTCTCTTTTTATAAGTATCACATTTTTCATTTTAAAGTGGTAACTACATTCCTAATAAAGAGATCGTGCTAGCAAAAAGGAATGTTTTGACAGGTGCATACTCCTCTTTTGCAATTGAATTGCCTTGGCATTTATAGAAAATAAGTAAAGTTAATTGGATATCATCTTGATAATAACAGTAGAGTTAAGTGATTGATGATATGTGTTGGAGGTTTATTTTATGTTAAGAATTAATTATAGATTAGAGACATGTCCAAAAAGGAGAACAAGACAATGATTTGGACCTTATGTTTCTGTAGTAGTGTATATGGGCCTTTTATGCTTTCTTTCTATTTATTAATTCAGGCATAGAAGAGTCTCAGTTACGGCACACTCTGAATGCCACTTTAGAAAATTACATAGGAATCAGTATACAATATGTTGATGCACTATTTAATATAACTACAAGAAACTGAGCTGAAATATTGAAAATGAAGGATATTCTCCTTGTCATCTTGTGAGCTACTTTTATCAGAGTATTTGTTTTAACAGATTTTAACTGACAGCAAAAACTAATGTCATCAGTGTTATTTTATATATGTTGCTAGTTTTTACAGTTTGAGGAAACAGAACATGATTGTGATTTATTCAGTTGTTTTTGCTCTATATTACTGTTGGTATCGTTTCTCTTAAGTAGTTTGTTGATTTTATATAATATCGTGTTTGCTTCATGTAGGCTTCAGCTCTGGAAGCTCATTTGTATTGTTTTAAAACTCTAAACCAAGGCTTTTGATTTTTTTAAGATGGCAGAGTAGAGACATTTGTGCCCTCTTCTATCTGAAATTACCCTGAAACAACAAGGAGAATGACAGACAGAGATTACATCTTTGATGAGACCAGAAATCCTATAACCCCAAATCAAAATATTTGAGAAATGGTTGTCAAATGTAAGCAGGAAGAGATTAAAAGAGGATGCTAGTAGGAAGAGGTCTCAGAGCTTGCAGAGCAGCGTGAGAGAGATCTTCTGTTTACAGTGGGTCGGGATGTATAGGAAGGCAGTGGGAGCTTCCTTGGATTGTTTGGCTGCATGAACTAGCAAGAAAGGAAGAGCAAATGAGAAAACACAGATACGCCGTCTTTGCAGAACACACTTTCTTGGTGAGGCAAGAAGTCATGGCTAAACAGTTTTCTCTCTCTTGTTCTCAGACACATTCTCTTGTCTCTCTCTCTCTCTCACACACATGCGCAAAACACTCTGTTATGAATGCTTTCTTGTACATCAGTGACTATCTTCTAGTCTAGAACCAGGCCTGCTTCTTCCTTTCACAGTCCTCTTGCGAATAACTGATCCTAGTAGAGTTCACATCATTCACAGGTGAATAATAAAAAGGAAACAAGCACAGTTATCTACACAAAAATGCTGTAAGAAAAAAGGAAAAAAGAAACAGGGAAAAACAAGTGAAAAAGAACCCATGAGAAAACTATATTGGCCTAACAAATTTAATGAAACAATCACTTCTTTAAAATAATAGACAAAGTTTTTTGGCCAGGGAGAAATAGTAAGACAGCAGGATCTGATAAATCATATTCTGGCAGAGCTCAAGAAAGAAAAGGAAGAAAAAGAAAATCAAATAAATGGCCATATTGGAAGCAAAAAGGAGAATTAACATTGTTGAAAAGTCAGAAAAGGGCATGACGACAGGCTTTTGAAAGTTGAACAAAGTCAAATGAGAATGAAAAGAGATGAAACAAAGGCCCAATTATGTTCTGGAAATAGAGAATTCAACATTAGACCAGAAAAATACTCAAACATATAATTTAAGAAACTTCCCACTAAAGAAATCTTAGTTCTACAGATCGAAAGAGCATGTAATAGAGAAAAATTAGTATACATTAATCCTTGAACAGTGTGGGGATTAGGGACACCGACCCCCCCATGCAGTTGAAAATTTGTGTTAACTTTTGACTCCCCAAAATTTTAACTACTAATAGCATACCATTGACCAGAAGGCTTATTGATAACATAAACAGTTGGTTAACATATATTTTGTATATGTATTATATACCATATATTTACAATAAAGTAAGCTAGAGAAAAAATGTTATTAAGAAAATCATAAGGAAGAGAAAATACATTTACAGGACTGTAAAAAATCCACATATAAGTGGATCCACATAATTCAAACCCATGTTCAAGAGTCAACTGTACAGTCATCAACATCATTATGTAACCTAGTTTTTAAAAACTTTGGATTTCAGAGGCAAGGAGTGCATTCTCTGTTCACACCAGTAAAAGGGTCATTTTACCTGTAGGGGAATCCTGGGGGAAGGATCAGATATTGTCAAGGGGATATTTAGCATTATAGAACAGTGGTACAAAGCCTGTAAGTCATCAGGGGAAAGAAAGTATGATCTCAGCCCAACTATCAGTTGACAAGTGTATTTGAACAATGTAAGAACTCAAGGTAAATAGTATCTATAAGTTTTTTGATAAAGTATAGGAAGATGAATATCAGCCATCCAGTAGATGAATGGAGATGATTCAGCAAAAGGATTGGCAGGAAGATAGGATGAACAAGAACAAATTAACTGAGATTTGTAGTAACAGAATATAATAGAACTGTTACAAGGTAGAAATAACTAATAAAAGTCGAGATTGAAGGAGAAGAAAAAGCAGGAGAGTAAGTATAAATTTGCTGATTTTCTCTTATTTGTCAGCTGGAGAACAAAGGACAAAAACTTTAGACATCAAGTAATAGAGTTGTTAGTATATTTAAAGGAATAAAGATGAACACTTGAAGAACTAAATATAATATGTTTAACCAAAATCAAATAGTGCATAGGAGGTACAAAGAAGTAGAACTATATTGTTTCTTATCTTAAATAGATGCAACCAAAGATGAAAGAATAAAAATTTTTATCTTTACACTTTATTTACATTTGCAAAAAAACTGAAAACATATATGGGATATTTATAAAAAACTGACCATATCCTAGATCACAAAAAACAACAAAAAGCTATCATACAGATGATGTTTTTTTTTTTTTTTAAACCGTTAAGTCCCGTGACATCTTTATTATAAAGATGAACACTCATCCTCACGATAGGCTTATCGGTAGGATTTCTGGTAGCGAGCACGGGCACCAGGACCGCCAAACTTTTTGGATTCGCAGCGCCGGGGATCAGCTACCAGCAGGGTCCGGTCGTATTGGATGAGGATGTCTTTGATCTCCTTCTTGGAAGCCTCATCCACATATTTCTGGTAATAGGCCACCAGGGCTTTGGAGATGGACTGGCGGATTGCATAAATCTGGGCCACGTGACCACCACCCTTCACTCGGACTCGGATGTCCACCCCGGCAAATCGCTCCTTGCCCAGAAGCAGAACAGGTTCCAGTAGCTTATATTGCAGCGTGCGAGACTCGATCATCTCCAGGGGCCGCCCATTCACCTTGATGAGGCCGTTGCCGCGTTTGCAGTGCGCCACGGCTGTGGCCGTCTTCTTGCGTCCGAAGACCTGCACGGACTGCAGAGGACCCTTGGACGGCATGGCTGCGAACGTAAGAACTCCTCACCGCGCGGTGCCGCAACCGGAAAAGGAACATGCGGGGCCACCCCCCAGATGATGTTTCTTGACCAAAAATTTTCTCAATTTCTTCTGTGGAAGTGGTTCTTAATATGGTCAACAGCATCAGCACGGCCTGGCAGCTTGTCAGAAATGCAAATTCAGAAGCCCCATACCAGATCTACTGAATCAGAAACTGTAGGAGAAGCCCCCAAATCTCTGTTGGTCAAGTTTTACAGATATCCCATTTATGTTTGTTATTTGCAGTTGTTATTTGTAGAATGCCATGATAAATATTTTTGTTCTTTCATGTTTGGTCTCATATCTAATTATTTAGGAGAGGAAATTAGTAAATCAAAGAATGTTCTGTAGAACTTTAGGTAACTTTTTCTTTGTTGTAGTGCTGGTTATTAGAGGTGGAAAAATTAAAAGTAGGTTTTGTTTCTTTAGAAATATCTTTTTTGTTTACAATATCTTTTTTGTTTACAGAAAGCAAGATTATCTTCTTATCCAAAAAAGATGAAACCAACACGGTTACTCTCAAAAGACAACCAAGTGAATACCTTAGACTAATGAGTAGAATCAATAAGAACGTGATTTTGGCGCTTTTAACTTTGACAAGTTCTGCATTTCTACTGTTTCAGTTGTACTACTACAAGCACTATTTATCAGCAAAGGTAATATTTTTTCTCTTTTCTCATCATTAGGCAAAATTAGTTTATTTCAGTACAGTGTACTTCTCCCTCCCATTCTAGGGGAGGATACTTCTCTGTCCTAGTTGACCTTGACCATGAGACTTATTTTGGCTGGTGGAATGTTATAGACATATGCAGAAATTTCAAAGGGGCTGTTAGGGTATGACTTGCCCTTTGTTCATCCCTGATGTGCCAGGAGAAGAATGTGCCCTGGGTAGTTCTGGGCCCTGGATGGGATTTATGAAGCAGACCAAAGCATAGCTGCCTGGCTGACTTGCAGATCTGACAGAAAATAAATGCCTATTAGCCTTTAAGATTGGGGCAAGCCCAACCAGAGGCACCCAGGCACCCCTAGGAGCTATTATTTTTATTATTATCTTCAATTTTATAATCAGAAGTAGTATATGTTATATTGTGTCCATGGCATACAAATTGCCTTAGTAATAAGGGCCATATTCATTAAGCAGAATTGAACAAAATAAGGCATAAAATTAAATAAAGTTCACTAAACCTGTATACTATTAAATTTGCAAAGTTTGTATTATTTGAACTAGAGTTCTTGTTTTTTATGTTCACTATTAATAATAGGTAGAAACGATGACATCTAAGTTTTGAAATACCACAGGTTACTTTTATTAAAAAATATGGAAATTACATTAAGCTATTCCTAATCAAGTAATTTTGCATTCTATAAAATGGAGTTTTAAACTTTATTAATTCAAAACTTTTATTTAAAAGTCACCATTTGCCAGGCACTTTGACAGGGTGATAGAAGCAATGAGAAATGGTTTCTCTCTTCCATTTATTTATAATTTGTTGGGGACAGATGCTACTGGAAGTATAGATGCTTCTTGTATGTTATTAGTGTGAAGATAAAATACTATCTGTAAGGAATACAAGTAGTTTATGCCAAGAGGAAAAAAATTCTTTATTTAAAAATACTAGGTGTAGTTAGAGTAATAGATGCTGAAGCTCCCAACTTTTTTTTTTAAGATTTTTTATTTATTTATTTGAGAGAGAGAGAATGAGCAGGGTGTGGGGGAAGAACAGAAGGAGAGGGAGAAGCAGGCACCCCGCTAAGCAGGGAGCCCGATGCAGGACTCCATCCCAGGACCCTGAGATCATGACCTGAGCCGAAGGCAGACACTTAACTGACTGAGCCACCCAGGCGCCCCTGAAGCTCTCAACTTTTAAATTTTTTTTCAATTTTGTTGAAAATATATACACTTTTGGCTTTTTATTAAACTTCAAGGTCTCACTTAAACTTCAGGGAACTACAGATGGATCTTGAGTATTCTAGTATAGTTTCTTGTGACATAGGAAGAGAACTCAGTTTTGTAAACTTTGTTTACTGATTATATCTGAATTGCATTTCTCATTTGTTCAACATTCTCATATTCTCAATCTCTGTTAGATAGATAAAGAAAATTCACACAAATAAAATGATTTCTAGTTCAATTAAGTTAGTTTGATTTGTTAGCAGAAGATTACAGAATGGTAGCCGTGATCAGCACTAACCTATAGGTCAGCAGCATCAATGTAAAAACCATAATTTTAGGTCATGTTTGAATTTCAAGGCAATTTAGAAGGACACTTGAGATTATGTGTTAAAGCTAGGACAAGAATGAAAAGTTGGTTTTATCTGTGATCTCAGCCTACTTGTAGTAAATGCCTGCAGCAGTAAATGTTGAGAAGGACTGCAGAGCTTTTCAGGCCCTCTTCAGGAGAGAGTACTCTTATCATTGGTTAGAGAAGAAGGATTATTGCTATCTTAGAGTTAAGGAGGCCTACTTTTGACCATTTCTAGGGCCTCACCACAGAATTCTCTTGGCACTAGCTGGTTAGACAAGTTTAGCCTTTCTATGACTTTCTAAATGAGGTCTGAATAATCTAGTTAGTTGATAGCATTGAAGGGAAGCAATTAGTATATTATATCTTTTGGGTCGGGCACAACTCCCTACATGGGTGGACTTGACTCTTCAGGTTCCAGAGAACAACCCTCTAGATCTTTGAAATACAAACTTGTGTGATAGCCTTGTGAGCATTTTCTTTGAGCTCCAGTTTTCAAGTAATTGGCTGACAGTTTGCATCACAAAGGAAGGGGTGTCTGTAGGACCCCCTAGGGAATGTCAGTTGTTCATTGTTTTCTTACTGCACCAACCAGGACTGTGTGATTATAATTCTGTGTGTTCATTCAATCTGTATTTATTGATTACTTGTTATATACAGGCCACTTTACAGGAATACAGAGATAAATAGAACACAGGTCCTACTCTCAAGGAACTCATAATTTGAGAGAAGAGGCAACAGCATTAATTCTTGAGTTTGGGGCCTAGATAGTCCTGAGTTCAAATCCTCATTTGGTTGTTTGGCTTACTACAAGTCACCTAACTTTTTTGAGCCTCAGTTTCTTTAAATGGGACTAATAGCAATGTTGCTGGTTGAGATAATGTATGAAATGCATCTAACTTAGTGTTTGATACATGGTAGATGCTCAGTAGATGGTAGCTATTAATAGTTTACATATTCTAGTCCTTTTAAGGTTTACATTGCTGTTTGATAATAAATTGTATTTAATTATTACAGGCTTCTCATGAGCCTACATTTATCATTTTTTCATAAATGAGTTATTTGGGGCCCAGATATCTTAAGCTTCTTGCTAAAGATTGCCAAGTTCAGGTCCTAAAACTTACGTCTTCACTCATAGAGTATCATACAAATATGTTGAAACAAAATACTATAGCATTTATAAGGTATGAAATGAGATTGCTTTAAGGTATTATGAATCACAGTAGAAAATTATTAAATATTGCTGCCTCAATGGAAGGAAGACAAAGCCAACAGACTATGTTTGTATAAAGTATTGAGTGAACCAAACCTTAGTGATGTTCTTGACTTAGAACCGTAAGCAACACCAGTGCCTGCAGTATTCAGCTATTCTCATTACCTAGAAAGCCACTTACAGTGTTCTGTGCTAGGATGTCTTTCTTTGCATTATATGTAGTAACCTCTGTGTGTTTGGTTATAAGGCCAGGAGGGAGTGGAAAGTTTGCATTTCAAGTTGGTAATAGTCATTCACAGTGAACAATTTCATATGCCATTATTAGAAATGGAAATTAAGGGGCGCGTGGGTGGCTCAGTCGGTTAAGTGGCTGCCTTCGGCTCCGGTCATGATCCTGGGGTCCTGGGATCGAGCCCCACGTCCGGCTCCCTGCTCAGCGGAGATCCTGCTTCTCCATCTCCTTCTGCCTGCCGCTCTGCCTACTTGTGCTCTTTCTCTACCTCTCTGTCAAATAAATAAATAAAATCTTAAAAAAAAAAAGAAATGAAAATTAATCTGGTAGCCATTTAGATCATGTGCAACAAAGATTTTTGAAATATTTTGAGTTGGTCAGTTGCTTGTTAAAATCATGCAAGAAACATGATTGTAAAAAAACTCTTCTTTGACTATTGGCTGGTTCTCTTATGCTCTGAAGGATAATATACGGGTCATTGCTGGAGGAAGAGTATTCCATCTGATAATCTGATCTAGTGTGATAAACTTTGGTAAATGCTGTTGTCCCTCTCTTCCTGTCCTTTCCTCCTCCAATTACCACCATTGTTCAGGAGAAATGTGAAAGAATTTCCTCCATTAGAATTGAGGGATATTTAAAAAATACTTCCATGTATTCCCAGACTTTAGACTTTTAGGTTTTCTGGCCAAACTGTTTTGTCTTATTAATAAACAAAGCTTTCCCACTGTCTCAGATCACATTTATGAGTCTTATCCACTAAGAACTTCAGTGACTCGGGAGTAAGTAAAAGAACAGTGCATGTACTGGAAGGAAAGGCACTGAGATACAGAAGAGGAAGGCTCCCTGGAGGGTTGGTGAATTTACCATGGTTAGTGTTTCTGATCCTTACGATTGCAAATTTATTTTTTTTTAAGATTTTATTTATTTATTTGACAGAGAAAGAGAACACAACAGGGCGAGCAGGAGGGAGAGGGAGAAGTAGGCGCCCTGCTGAGCAGGAGCCCGATGCGGGGCTCCATCCCAGGACTCCAGGATCATGACCTGAGCCGAAGGCAGATGCTTAACCGACTGAGCCACCTGGGTGCCCCAGGATTGCAAATTTATAAATAATTGAAAAAGATCAGTTTTTTAAGTCTTACTGTTTGATTCTCTATAGGCATGAGTAATGATCATGCTAGATTAAGAATTCTGGTTTTTGGTTTCTGTAAAAAACTGTCGGTTACTGTCTTTCAAAAAAAATGAAAGGATTTTTCCTTGAATCTTCACCTCCTATATCCCAAATACTTTCTCTTTAATGGCATAACTTAATTTGACTCATTTATCAGTGAAGTTCAGTAGCCACCAGACTTTTTCTACCCTCCTTTTTGGTATCTGATTCCATCTTTACATTTATTTATTCACTTCACATAATTTTTACTTTAAATATCCTATAGGAATATCTTTAGGCTTTAAAATTTTTTTTGAAAACTCCTTATTTTATATAGCATTTCTTTTAGAATATTCAGCCATTTATTTCTCTCTCTCTCTCTTTTTTTTTATTATGTTATGTTAGTCACCATACAGGACATCATCAGTTTTTGATGTAGTGTTCCATGATCCATTGTTTGCGTATAACACCCAGTGCTCCATGCGATATGTGCCCTCCTTAATACCCATCACCAGGCTAACCCATCCACCCACCCCCCTCCCCTCTAAAACCCTCAGTTTGATTTCTGGAGTCCATAGTTTTTCATGGTCCATCTCCCACTCCGATTTCCCCCACCCTTGATTTTTCCCTTCCTTCTCTCAAGTGTTCATTGAGTTCTTTCTGTGTGCCAAGCACAGTACTAGGCTGTGAGACAAAATGATGAGTCAAGTGTAATCCTTACTGTCTAGGAAGTCACAAATTGGGGAAATTTGGGATTGAAGAGGAGAGGAGTTAAGAAACCTTAGGGGCGCCTGGGTGGCTCAGTCTGTTAGGTGTCCAGCTCTTGATTTCAGCTCATGTAATGATCCTCAGGGATCAAGCCCTAGGTCCAGCTCTGCACTCAGTGCAGAGTCTGCTTGAGATTCTCTCTCTCCCTCTCCCTTTTCCCCTCCCCCTGCTCTCTGGCTCTTTCTAAAATAAATCTTAAAAAGAGAGAGAAACCTATAAAGAGACACACAAGCAAATGATGATATGTTACTTCTTCAAAGCACACTTCATAAACCCTGTTCTGCCTACTTTACTAGTTATAGTTTAAGAACTCTTCCACTCTTTAGTCTCTAGCTTTTGTAATCCTCTTCTTCACAGCTGTCACAGTTATTTTTCTTAAGATCTGATCCACTTACTCTCTGCATAGCATACCTGTGGAATAAGATCCAAATTCTTACCATGGTATGGTAGATAGTCTCTGTTTCTCAAGATCCTGTCTTTCCCATACTCTGGGCCTCAGGAGGCTGACCTCTATGGACTGCATTAACTGAATTCCCTTGCCTTTTCTAGTTGAAGTCAGCCAATGGGAAACATCACCCAGAGGTTGGAGACCAGGAGGAAAGAGTGGTCAGGTTATTTATTCTCTTGGTTCTCTATTTCTAGGATCATTGCTTGATAGGGACTGCATTCCTCCGAAACAGCTGCAGTGTAGCCACTGGGTGCCAGTAACTGTTCCTCAGCAGAGATAGATTAGCCATTAAGATAAATGAAATTTACACTGGGTGTTATGAACAAACAATGAATCATGGAACACTGCATCAAAAACTAATGATGTAATATATGGGGATTAACATAACAATAAAAAAATTAAAAAAAAAAAGATAAATGAAATTTAAACTGCAGGGCCCCTCACTTCCAAAGCTATATATTTTGATAAAGTTTGCAGAAGATATTTTTGCATTCTTTTTCTTAAAAAGGACCACCAAAATTGTATAATTTTCAGGCCCCTGTAAAACCGGATCCTCCTGTGTCCTTATCCTTGACCCTTCAAACTTGGGTAAGTGCAAAGTTTATAAGGAATGAAAAACTGCTGAATAACCTACTTAGGGAGGTTATGATTGAATATTTAATGGGTGAAATAATATTTTGAGTTGGTTTTATGAGTATAAGTTCTCCAGGTGAAAAAGGATGGGAAGGCCATTACAAATAGAGGAAACAGCCTATTTGAAAAGGATGAGCTATGTGGATATCTAGAAGAGGAGCATACTACCTAGAGACCAAAGGAAGCACAAAAGTCCTGAGGCAGGAACATGCCTGGCAGTTTTAAGAATAGCAAAGAGATGAATATGGCTCTAGAGGACTTTTGCTTTTATTCTAGGTGAAATTAGGAACCATAGGAAAGTTTTGAGCTGATATGTGACATGATCTGACTTAAAAAAAGTAGTGAGTGGATGCTCTGTTGAGAACAGATGATTGGGTGAAGGGCTAACAGATCATTTAGAAGGCAGTTCTAGTAATTTACATAAGACGGTGATGGCTTGGACAAGGGAGCTAATGGTAGAGTTCATGAAAAGTGGAAAGTAGAGCTGTCAGAATTTGTTGATGGGCTAGATGTTGGGTATAAAAAACAGAAAGGAGTCAGGGATAACTTTAGTATTTGGGGCTTAGATAATTGGAAAAGGGAAGTTGCTGTTTACTGAGATGGGAAAGACTAGGAGAAGCAAGCTTGAGGGATGGTTAGAGATCTGGAGTTTTTTTCATACATGTTAAGTTTGAGATGCTTATTTGACATCCAGATGAAGAAGGTGAATAGATAGTTGAATAAGTTTGGAATTCAAAGGACTAGTTTGGTTGGAAATATAAATTGAGAGTTGTAAGCATATAGATTGTATTTAAAGCCATTAGAGTAGATGAGTTACCAAGAAAGTGAACATAGAGTAAAAAGAGGGAGAAAAGCCTCAGGGTCTGAGTTTTGGGACCACCAATACACTGGAGGTGGAAGACCTAGCAAATAAGAACAAGGAGGAGCAGCCAGAGAGAAGTAGCAGGAAAACCAGAAGTAGTCGGGATTCTGAGAGCCAAGTGAAGTGTTTGAGTGAGACAGAAGTGATCAACAATTCTTGATAGATCAAATAAGACAAGGAGTAATAACTGTTCATTGGATTTAGCAACGTGGAGGTCATTGGTGATCTTGATGAATACTTGGAAGAGTGAAATTAATCTTGTGAGCTCATGGGAAGAGAGGAATCGGAGGCAGTGAGAACAGACAACCCATTAAAGGTTTTGCTTAAAGGACAGAAAATTGTTAGTTGGGAAAAGAGGAGTTGTTTGTTTGTTTGTTTGTTTTAAGATAGGAGAAATAATATCATATTTATATATTGATCCAGCAAAGAAAGCGAACAGCTCAGAAATTCAACCTCATTTACTAATGGAGGGCTATGATGAGCAACAAGGGCTGTGTTACAGTTTGCCATCTCTTTTTAAGGATGAAGATTACAAAGCTGTCTCTTTGTGATTTAATCTCAACTATCCCTTGGTATGAAAATGTTATTGTCTAAGTTGCAGAGCTTATGAGGAGAGACCAGTTCTTGCTTTACCTTAATTATTCAGTATATCTCTTTTCCGCTCTCCTTCCCTGCATTTAACAGACCATCATTAAACATTTACTCATTACCAAGCACTGTACTAGGCACTGTCAGTACAGAGAAAGATTGGACTTGGTCCCTACCCTTAAATTTGCAGTTTAGTGGGGCGATGAGTCTCCTTTTTAGGAACTTGGGGCATATTTCATTTTTAGGATAAAGCTATTCTTACTGTTCTTCAACATCCTCCCATCTATATCTTTTAGGTAAAGAACATATTCAAGGCATAAGAAACTTCTCTGGATCTTCTTTGAGCTTGAAACATTCTTCATATTGTCTCTAGACCATCAGACATTCTTTTTCCTGTTACTTTCAAAGTATTTTGGGCCTGGGGTGCCTGGGTGGCTCAGTCGTTAAGTGTCTGCCTTCGGCTTGGGTCATGATCCCAGGGTCCTGGGATCGAGCCCTGCATTAGGCTACCTGCTCTGTGGAAGGCCTGCTTCTCCCTCTCTCACTCCCCTTGCTTGTGTTCCTTCTCTCACTGTGTCTCTCTCTGTCAAATAAATAAAAATCTTTAAAAAAGAAAAAAGTATTTTGGGGCTTATCAGATGAAAACTGATAATGCTTTCTTCCTTCTGATTCTCTAGACCTTAATATTTTTTAAATTTTTATTTTTTAGTGGAGTATAGTTGACACACAATGTTACAGTAGTTTCAACACAGTGATTCAGCAGTTAGTACATTAGTACATTAGTTAGTACATTAGTACAACACAGTGATTCAACAGTTACGCTGTGCTCACAAGTGTAGCTACCATCTGTCATGCAACACTATTAGAGTACCATTGACTGTATTCTCCATGATGTCCCTTTCACCCCTGTGGCTTATTCATTCCATAACTAGAAGCCTATATCTCCCACTCCCCTTCACTCATTTTGCCCATCCCCCCCTCCTCCCCTTTAGCCACCACCAGTTTGTTCTCTGTATGACAAGCAAAATAAGTCAGAGAAAGATAGCTTTGAGTTTACTAAAATGTTTTTTTGTTATCTTCTTAGAATGGAGCTGGTTTATCAAAATCTAAAGGAAGCCAAAATGGATTTGATAGCACACAGTGGGTATGTATGATAAGCACAGATGAAATTCCTCATTTACAGTGTTCATTTGGTTCATTTGTTTATGTACTCAATAAGTATTTGTTGAATGATGATGATGGTAATAGCTGTCTTGGTGGGCAGTGGGAGTAGGTGGTGGAGAGGAAGGGATAGGCCCTGTGTCAAGTGCGTTACATGCAATATCTCATTTAGTCCTTATGGAAACTTTATGAAGTAAGTACATATCGTTATCCTCAGTTCACTGAAAGAGTTTAAGGTTAGTTGGCTAATAAGTGGCTGAGTCCAGATTCCTAAGTGTTTGCCTTCAAAATTCTCACTCACTGAACTATGGTGCATCCCCAAATGAAAAAAATATATGAATCAGAACTGAACTATGAATAAGGGAAAATAATGATTAGGAATAAAAATCTATTCAGCTGGTTTCCTTTTTAAGATAAGGAAAACTAGCAGTATGTATGATATAGCCCTGTTTTGATTTATAAATTTCAGAGCCTATACATCTATAAAAATATGTTTTCCTACCTTTTTTCTAAGCAAATTTAGAATGAAAAACAATGCTAGGTTACTAGTTACTAATAAAAAATTACATTTATCCTATTCGTATATATCTTGGATATGACCAGTTATTTCTTGTGGATGACCTCAGTCTTTGGCATCTCTTTAACCAGGACATGAAGCTTCTAAGATAGGAAGTGGGTTTTCAAAATCATGAAGCAGCAATGAAGTAGTAATAATTTTAGGTCCTTGCTGGCACCAATTGGTTTTCAACTACTATTTAAAAAGTAAAGTCTGGGATATCCTATACCAGGCTCCTCAGTTATGAAGTACCAAGATGAACTTTTAATTTATTAAAAATAGCAGATGTTTTCCTCTGTGAACTTAGGGAAGTCTGAGGGGAACAGGAAGCCCCATCTTTTTCATTCAGGGAAGGATCCTGAGGTGGGAGAAAATATGTTTTGTTTTTTTTTTTAAAGGGTTTACTTCCAAGATAAATGAGCAAAAATTAAAGAACAGCTCACTACGTTCAATGAGTTCTCTTTGTTAATTACATTGCATGGTACTAAGAATTAGTCTTTATAATTGCAGAATCATGTGGAAGGGGAGAAGTACTAAAATACTTTTGTAATAGTATTTTAAAAGGAAGGAAAAGTGAAATCTGATCAGTAAGTGTGATACTGAGCCCTGAAAAAAATTCTAGAATGAGTTATTAAACAGATGACTTGAGAGCACTTAGGAAAGGGAATGATTATTAGGAGCTAGCCTTTCACTAAGAACAAGTCCCACCAAGCCCTTTTAGATGAATAGACTATTATAGTCTTAGTGTACCCTATTTCCAACAAGACATTTTTCTTTCTTGCAAACAAAATGAAGGTCAGATGATAAGAGTCATGTTTATTTAGAATTAATTGGATTTAGAGTCAATTGGACATCTGTTTCCAAGGAGCATTGATGATTGCATTGATAACAACCTGGAAGGCATATTTAGAAGGTGAGTTAGAGAATATCTCCTCTACCCTGCCCTAATCTATATTTATATCAATAATTGTAATGAAGCCATAAATGTGTTCATCATGTTTATATTTAACACTAAGCTGAAAGAGATTCACTCAACAAACATTTATTAAGCACCTTATATGTGCAGGTGTCTGTCACTTCATCATCTTTCTTCCAAAATAATTTCTTTTATTCTTCTGGTGTAAAGCACAGAAAGCAACAACTATAAAAGAAAAAAAAATGATAAATTAGAATATCAAAATTTAAGACTTCTACTCCTCAAAAGACACCATTAAGAAAATGAAAAGAGGGGCGACTGGGTGGCTCAGTCGTTAAGCGTCTGCCTTCGGCTCAGGTCATGATCCCAGGGTCCTGGGATCGAGCCCCGCATCGGGCTCTCTGCTCCGCGGGAAGCCTGCTTCTCCCTCTCCCACTCCCCCTGCTGTGTTCCCTCTCTCGCTGTGTCTCTCTCTGTCAAATAAATAAATAAAATCTTTAAAAAAGAAAAAGAAAAAAAAATGAAAAGAAATGCCACAGAAGAAGAAATATTTGCAAAACATGTATCTGACAAAGGACAGGGTATCAAGAATATATAAAGAACTCCCACAACTCAAAAACAGATTTTTTGTTCATACTCTTTATCAAATTGAGAAAGTATCCTATTCCTGGTTTGCTGAGAGTTTTTAATCATGAATAGGTATTGAATTTTGTCAAATACTTTTTCTGTATTGAAATTATCATAGGATTTCCCCCCTTCATTCTATTGATATGGTGAATTTCATTGATTTTCAAATGCTAAACTAACCTTTCATTTCTGGGATAAACCCTACTTGGTCAGGATATTTACTTTTTTTTTTTATCTTTTTCTTTTAAACTACTGGAATTTATTTTCTAGTATCTTTATAGTGGTTTATAATTTTCTGTTTTGTAATATTTTTGTTAGGTTTTGGTATTTGGATTATACTGGCCTCATACAATGAGCTAAGAAGGATTCCTCCCTGCTCAGTTTTCTGATGAAGTTTTTGTAGAATTGGTATTATTCCTTAAATATTTGATAGAATTTACCTGTGAACCATCTGAGTCTGGAGTTTTTTTTGTTGCTGTTGTTTTGATATATAACGTGTGTATATATATATATATATATATATGTATATATATATATATAAGTTTAACAAATACATATGAATATATAACATATATATATATAAATTCAATTTTGGTGATAGGTATAGGGCAATTCAGATTTTTCGTTTTATCTTGTGGTAATTTGTTAATTGTGTTTTTAAAGAAATTTGTCCATTTTATCTAAGTTACTGTATCTTTTCGCATGAGTTGTTTTTCTTTTTACTTAGTTGTTTCTCCCACTAGGAGATAATAAACTCCTGTAGAGCAGAGATTATTGTAGTCTTGGTATTTGCATACTCAGCACTAAAAACAAATGGTAAGAGACTTACTACTAGCTTTATCTCATTTTTTATTTAAATTCAATTTAGTTGGGGTGCCTGGGTAGCTCAGTCATTGGGCGTTTACCTTTGGCTCGGGTCATGGTCCCAGGGTCCTGGGATCAAGCCCTGTATCGGGCTCCCTGCTCAGCAGGAAGCCTGCTTCTCCCTCTCCCACTTCCCCCGCTTGTGTTCCCTCTCTCACTGTGTCTCTTTCTGTCAAGTAAATAAAGTCTTAAAAAAAAAAAAAAAAAGAGAGAGTCTTTTATGGTCATTTTTTCTATCCTTAAAATTCTTAATATCCTATTTATTTATATCTTGTATATATTTTACGTATTTCTTCAAATTTTGTGAATAAGAGTTTACCCTTAATTCTATGAGGCACCTTTTTGATGGCATACATCCCTTTGAAATGATTATTACTTTAATTAAAGTATGCTTTTAAGCAGTGATGTACACCAGTTATTCTATTTATCTTTGCTGCTCTTTGGTGTTACTTACTCTTGAGTGTGGTTATTGTATTTCTATTCTAATTTTGAAATTTATGTTTTCAGTAGGGGACTCTACTTACTGCCCAAAAGAATTATATTTTAAAATATTACATTATTACTAGAAAATCAAACTATATATGAGAATAGTCAAGCAGGCAATATATTTTAGTTTGAATCTTTTGCTTAGAAAGATTATTAAGCAGTATTACAAATATGAAGAAAAGTGGCACATACAATTGATTTTTGATTTTGAAAAGGTTGACATGACCTGTTTTTAAAAACTGACATCTGGTATTTCCTCTCCCACTTTGGCTCAAAAATATTTAATTAATACCTAGGAAATAATTTGTAAACCCGAAGTTTTCATTTCAGATATAACTTCCTCTGTGAAGATTTTGTTATTCTTTGGATGTACAGTTAATTAGTAGCTTACTATTCTCTATAGTGTGTTGCATATATTTTTGCTATAGCATATTTTACCTTGTATTATGAATCTACTGAGTGAAACATACATATTCTTATAAAATTAATGAATAAAAATTTAATAAGGTAGATTGTTGTATTGGTTTAGAAGAATTAAGGGGATTCTTTTCCTCTCAAACAGCATGCAGTTAAAAAGTTTATTATGCTAACATCCAACCAGAATGTACCAGTGTTCCTTATTGATCCTTTGATTCTGGAATTGATTAATAAAGACTTTGAACAAGTCAAAAATACATCTCATGGCTCCACTTCAGAATGCAAGTTTTTCTGTGTTCCAAGAGACTTTACTGCGTTTGCACTGTGGTATCACCTGTGGAAGAATGAGGTAAGATGATTCACTTTCAGATAACAGAATGTGTCTTTTACAAAATAGTGTGGGGTTAAACCAGTTTGAAAAGTAAAACATTTCAAAAATCTTTAAAGCTTTTTATAAATTGTATTGGCAATATTTTCAGCAATAAGTAACAGAAGACACTTAATAGTGGCTTAAGCAAATGGGGGACTTACTTTTCTTGTGTAACAAGCGGTTGAAAGATTGGTGCCATTGGTATTAGTTCAGCTGCCCACTGATGTCAGGGCTGGCATCACTGAAGTTCTTTCTTCATTTTTCTCATCATTACAAGATAGCTGTCATAGTTTCCACGCATCATATCCATGTTTAAGGCAGGAATATGAGAGGAAGGGATGGTGACACTATTCATTCTTTGAAGCAAAAACTTTTCTCGAAAGCTCTGATAAACTGCTTATACTCATTGTCCAGAATTAGACTCAAGTGTCTTCTTGTTGTAAAGGGAGCTAAAAAGACAGGTACTTAGGATTTCCATCAGTGTAGTAGGCAAGCAGGAAGGGATCTGGTGATGAATATTCAGTATCTACCACGTAAGGTATAAGGTATGTGAGGGCAGTGTCACTAGTCGGTAGCACTACTCTTTCCATCCTGTAAGTGTGCAGTACTTGTTTGGTACTCAGATGGAGGGCTGCTTAGTTGTGTTGACCACTGCTGGGTAGGCTTATGCCTCAGGGTGGCGATGGGAAGCAGTATATGCGGCACGTTTCCTTGATTGCCCCAGGCTCTTACACGGGGCCTCAAGAAACTGAGCTTTGACTTTTTTCTGGTCTACAGTTGGTTCTTTCCAGGCAGTGATGCAAGTGATGAGACAAAGTGTACATATAAGTACATGATTCTTGTTGGCATATTTTTTTCTTTCTTCCCAATTTTATATTTTTAAAATATTTAAACTTGTGGAGAAGTTAGGATGTGGTATTTTAAATGTAATTTTTATGTTTTTAATTAAAATAATACCAGTCCCAAGTTTTAAAAGTCAGATAGTAATACAGAACTCATCATAAGGAAAAAGAGCAGTATCTGCTCTTCTCTCCTCATCTCTTATTTCTGCTCCGAGAGTCAACCACTCTCAACTCTTTCTACCTTGTTTATTTTCTCATTTATAAATGAAGTGTTTCTGCTTCTATTTTTAATATTCCATATTTAATATTTCATAAAAATATTTTGTTTTTAACATTTCATATTTCAATCATAAAATTTTCATATTTTAATATTTCAATTTAGTTTATAAATTATGAGAATTTAGCTCATATCTATTTTGTCTTCCTATATACACACACACTCTCTTGTGCCATCATCATCCTAAAATGACTATATCACATTTTGTATTAAACCAGTAGTGTTGACCTTATGAATATATAATCACTTGGATGCTACCTCATTTCATCTCATTATATTCCTTTTCTCATGCGACTCTTTTTTTTTTAATTTTCCATTATGTTCAGTTTGCCAACATATAGTACATCATAAGTTTTTGTTGTGTTCAACAATTCATTAGTTGCTCTTTTTTCCTCCTTTTCTGTTAACTAGTTTTCTATATATCTATTAATAATCTATGTATAAACTCTGTAACAGAAACATGACACTGCCAATAGGATCTAACACACTGGGTAATCTCTCAGTTCCACTTTTTTGTCCTTGGACACATCCCTCCTAGAACTCTGGGTCTTTTTGCCTTAATACAGACTGATCTGCTGTGCAGATACTGTTCTGTAACTCCCCTTCACAGCATTTTAGGAATTCCCTTCAGACAAAGTGTGAATGGGAGGTTGAAACCTTGCATGTCTGAAAATGTTTCTTTTTACCTGCATATTTGATTTCTAGTTTGACTTATATAGCAGTTAGCTTCTACTGTGTAACAAATCACCCTAAAATGTAGTGGCTTAAACGACAACCATTTGTGTAGCTCATGATTTTGTGACAATGATTTGGGTAGCATTTAGCTGGGCAGTTCTTCTGATCTCAGCTAAGCTCAGTTTCCAGTCAGCTAGGCAGCTCTGCTTCTTCAGGATGGCTGGCTGTCAGATGGCCAGTGGAGGTGCCTGGGCCATGTGTCTTTCATTATCCAGGCTAGTCTGAGAAAGCAAAAACATGAGAGGTTTCTTGACATTGTTAAAATATTAAGATTTTTTAACCATGAGCATAAATATACCTCCTTTCATTCAGGTGTCCTTTAATGAGCTTTAACAGAATATTGTAATTTTTCTAACAGATTTTGTACATTTTTAAAAAAGATTTTATTTATTTATTTATTTATTTATTTATTTATTTATTGAGAGAGCGTGCACAAGTGGAGGGAGGGGCAGAGGGAGAGGGGGAGAGAGCATCTCAAGGAGACTCTGCACTGAGTGTAGAGCCCAACTTGGGCTTCAGTCCCACAACCCTAAGATCATGACCTGAGCCAAAACCAAGAGTCAGACACGTGACCAGCTGAGCCACTCAGGTGCTCCATATTTTGCACATTTTTGATAAGATTTATTCCATGCTACCTTATAGTTTTGTGTGTGGGGTGTGTGTGTGTGTTTGTGTGTGTGTGTGTGTGAGGGGTGGGGGTGGTGGATAATGTGGATATTTTTCCTCTTCCTTCTCCAATTCATTATTATAGGTAATGAGAATGCTGTTGATTTTTGTGTATTGATGCTATATCCCAGCTACTGTTCTGAACTCTGCACTGTATAGATAAACTCCACAGTTTCTTCCTCCCATTCTCCTTTCTTCATCCCCATTCCCCCTCTCTTTCTTTTTCTCTTTCTTTGAATGTAGATGGTTGTATTTTCTGCACAAAAAGACATTTTAGTCTCTTCCTTTCCTACCCTTAGACCTTATTTCTTTTTCTTGTGTTATTGATTTAAGTAGGACTCCCCTTCCCCCAGGATAGTGTTAATTAAAAGTGTTTTTTCTTTCTGAAAGAAAGACCATTTTATTACTTGGATGTTGGACTTCCAGAATTAATTCTCTCATTTTCTTATCTTTGCTCAATGATTTTTCATCTCTTTTTTCTAACTGTTCTACTTTTAGGCAAAATCTTTAACAATGTCTTTGATTGTCTTCATATTCTTGCTCAAAAATTTTCTATTTTTCTAAAAATTTTGTGTACTCTTACAATAGGATTCTTGTTTCATGGGTGCAGTTTTGTCTTTTCTGCTCTGTAGATTTTCATGTTTTTTGGTTTTTGTTTAGTTGTTTGCTCCTTGCTACTTTTTATTTTTCTAAATCCCTTCATTTTAGGTGTTTGTTTTTTGTTATGGTTATTATTACTATAGATACTAACCAGAGAACACTAACCTGAGCATTCTCTTTTCAAGGAAGAAATTGGTATTAATTTGCATAAAGGGAGTCTTTGAACGTGTCCGCCAAGATACGTAGTTTCCCTTTTTGGTATTCTCCTTTATTCTCCCACCCCCACATTCCCCCTTGCCACCCTTAGTTTGAAATCTTTGGGCAAAGAGCAGATTAGCAAAAATATGTATGGCTTAATTCAGTGTAAGAATCACTTTAGTTTTGCTACCAGTATTTGGTTTTAAATATTTAAGCTTGATGTTTCTTTGATTTTAGGAAGGCTGGTTCCGGATAGCTGAAAATATGGGATTTCAGTGCCTAAAGATTGAGAGCAAAGATCCCCGGCTAGATGGGATAGACTCCCTTTCTGGAACTGAAATTCCCCTGCACTACATCTGCAGATTGGCCAATCATGCCATCCACTTGGTGGTCTTTCATGAGAGGAATGGCAACTACCTCTGGCATGGCCATTTACGACTCAAAGGACACATGGATAGGAGATTTGTTCCTTTTCGAAAGTTACAGTTTGGTCGTTATCCTGGAGCTTTTGACAGGTAAATTCAGGATCCAAAGAGGAGTTCTGAAACCTCTATTGTCCAGTCATGAATTCTTACTCTTTGTTTACACTTAGTAATTAAATCTAATATGTAATTCACACAGATCAGTTTTGAAATGTAAATATTCAACAGGAAGAAATTCAGGGACATGTGCATCAGGAAATATATATAAGAATGTTCATAACAACATTGTTTTCAATGCTGCCAAACATTGTATATTCATACAATGAAATATTGTAGAGCATGGAAGTGAATGAATTAGTGCTCTGTGTAACAGTATAGATGAATCTTACAATGTTGAGTGACAGAAGCAAGACAAAATAATACAACTCTTGATTATATTTATAAAAAGTGCAAGCACAGGAGAAAGTATGTTCATGGATATATGCTTACATAGTAAATATGGTCAAAAGGTACAAACTTCCAGTTACAAATACGTTCTGGGGATATAATGTACAGTGTGGTAACTATAGCTAACAGTGCTGAATTGTGTATTTGAAAGTTGCTGAGAGAGTAGATCTTAAAAAGTGATCTCAGAGGTAACTGAGGAAAATATGCTTGATGTTTAGCTGTTTTACTTATGTTGTATATTTTGAAGAGGCTGCCAGTTTTCTGGGTTAAGTCCTTGTAATAAATCTTAACTTGTTTTCAGGCCAGAGTTGCAACAAATTACTGTTGATGGACTAGAAGTTTTCATCCCGAAAGATCCAGTGCACTTTCTAGAAGAAATACCACACTCTAGGTTTATTGAGTGTAGGTATAAAGAAGCTCGAGCATTCTTTCAGGTTAGAAATAATCGAGTGTTGTACTTTGTAAATTAAAAGAGATGTGTTTATTTTTAATATTTCTGGGGAGGGGTAGGAAATGAAGGGACTTATGGAAAATCAGTAAGAAAACATCTTTTTTGATTCATCTGTTTTCTTCTAGATTGTTTTAATTTTTTAAAAGTAGGTTAAAGATTTTTTATTTATTTAGTTTTGAGAGAGAGAGAGAGAGAGCATGAGCACGAGCAGGGGGAGGGGCAGAGGGAGAAGCAGACTCCCTCCTGAGCAGGGAGCCTGATGCGGGGCTCAATCCCAGGACCCCGGGATCATGACCTGAGCTGAAGGCAGGCGCTTCACCGACTGAGCCACCCAGGTGCCCTAAAGTAGATTAAACATTAACCTTAAGAAACTGTTTCTTCCCTAGTTGAATGGTGTGATGTTTATGGAGACATTGTTTTATTTGGATAGACTTTTGGTAGGTTTAGCACTGGCCTCTGCTTTCAGTTAGGATACACCATATGTTTTATCAAAGGTGGTGTGTTCTTGAAGCATCCCAGTTAGGATGATGCCACTGTAGAAGATAGACCATGTAGATTTGGAAAAGATTTCATGGAAAATACAGTTTTTCTCAGAGGGTTTCAGTGAATATGAATTTTTTGTGTTTATGAAGGTTTTTGAAGGTAAATGCTACACAGAGAGCAGTGCTTTTTGAACTTTACTTTATTCTGCTGCTGTAGCTTTCAATTCAATAAACATTTATTGAAAGCCGTTTCCCAGGAACTCTGCTCACCCTGGGGATGTAAAGATGGTTTTGAGAGACATCAAGTTTTAGCTCTAAGGTATGACATGAAACAGAAATACAGTAAAAACAGATTTATGGTGGGGTTTTGGTACCCTAATCCTTCCACTTGCCCTTTATTTTCTGGGATTCCGTTCCAAGAAAACTGTAGACACATGGACAGGAATGGAATGAGGAAATGAAGTATCAGCCGTATCATCACTGGCCAAGTGCCCCACACCCACAAACGCAAGGTTTTTCTGGTAGGCTGTGTTATTCCCCTGGACCGAGGCCTGCCAACCTTCCTGGTGGGTCTTCCCAGCCCAGTCCCCTTAAATCTGTAATTGTGGAGCTGTGAAACATACCCAGTCAGCCTCATGGATGAAAAGCTGGCAAACTGCATCTGTGGATGAGCCTACTCTCATAGGCAAGCTGTGATCTTCATTTATCACATGGTAATAACAAGACGCAGAGGCGATGCAGCCTGGTGCTTGGACTTGACCACTCACTCTTCTGACCTTTAAGGGAGTTTGTTCTGGTTGCCACCTCTGTCAGAGCTCTTATCACAGTGAATTGTGAATATAGGTCTTGTCCCCCTACTAGATGATGTGAACTTATTGATGGCAGGCATCTTACTTCATTCACCTCTGTAGCCCCAGTATCTAGAACAGCATCTGGCACAAAGAAAAGATCCTAGAATTATGGAAAAGTGTATGGAGAATAAGGTGCTCATCTGAATCAAATGATTTTTTTTAAGGATACTTATTACGACTACTCCATTATCTAGGAAGCATTTTCCCAGACTCATTTTGTTGATCTTTGTGAGAAAGCAGTATAAAATATAAAATGTTTCAAGATATTGATACAGCATTAGGATAGTATCAAATTTTTTAATTCCATATTTTCATTTTTGCTTTTGAAATTTTCAGTCAAGCACTCAACCAGCATTTGAGTAAAGGATACGAATGACAGATGCTCAGAGGGCTTATCATATATAGCCTTGTAGTTTTGGTGTTTAAAGGACCATCACACTGGAGACTGTAATCCTGTCTGGAGGTTTATATTTATAGTAGGATCATGTGTGTCCCTCACTTGAAGCAGGGTATACTTGTGATTTCTGATTTGCTTTTCTCTTTTGCTGTTGTATTGATATTACTGATGTAGGGTGCCTAATTAGGTTGATAACTCTTTTTTCTTATTCTCTTAAATGTTTCATTCTTCATCATTTAAAAGTACCAGGAGTTTCAGTTTTCAAATTGAAGTGAGCATACATCACTTTGAACACTTGATGGCGCCAAACAGTCTAAAATATAATGCCTGGTGTGAAACAAGCAATGAACTAATCTAATAGAGCTCATAAAACAACCTTCTAGGGGTGCCTGGGTAGCTCAGTCATTAAGCGTCTGCCTTCAGCTCAGGTCATGATCCCAGGGTCCTGGGATCGAGCCCTGCGTCGGGCTCGCTGCTCAGCTTCTCCCTCTCCCACTCCCCCTGCTTGTATTCCTTCTCTCGCTGTGTCTCTCTCTGTCAAATAAATAAAATCTTAAAAAAAAAAAAAAACAACCTTCTAACTTTCTGTTTCTAATAATATTTTTTTGGAAACATTCTCGAACTTTCAGGAAAGTTATAAATGAAATACAAGTAATTTTTTCCTGAACCATTTGGGAGTAAGTTGTTGACTGTGTATCCCACAACCTCAATTTAGTATTTTCCCAAAACAAGAACATTGTCTACATTGTCTTAATAAAAAAATCAGGAAGTTAACACATAGATTATCACCATTTAACCCCATTCAAGTTTTGCTAATTGTCTCAGTAATGGCCTTTATAATAAGAGGATCCAGTTCAGAGTAAAATATGATAAAAGGATTTAGGATCACATGTTGTATTTAATATTTCTTTTTCCCTCTTTTTTTAAAGATTTTTTTTTATTTTAGGGAGAGAGAGAGAATGTGAGTGGGGGGAAGGGTAAAGGGAGAGGGAGAAAGAGAATCCTAAGCAGATACTGCACTGAGCATGGAGCCCAACCCAGCACTTGATCTAACGACCCTGAGATCATGACCTGAGCCGAAATCAAGTCAGTCGCTTAACTGACTGAGCCACCCAGGCACCCCCGTATTTAATTTTTCTCTCTTTAGTTTCCTCCAGTCTGGAATGATTTCATAGTCTTTTTTTTTAACTTTTATGACTTTGATGCTTTTGAAGATTACAGGCCAGGTATTTTGTAAATTGTCCCTTGTTTGAGGTTTGTCTGTTTTTTCCTAATGTTAGATTCAGGTAATACACCTGTAGTAGGAATAATACAGAAGTGATTCTATGTTCTTCTCATTACATCCTATCAGGTGCTGCATGGTTGTGATTTGTCCCATTACTGTTGATATTCACATTGATCGCTTGATTAAAGTGGTATCCTAGCTTCCACCCCTGTAAAGTTTCTGTTTTTTCCTTTGTAACTAATAGAAATTTGGTATGTATCTTTTTTTAAAGGTTTATTTACTTATTTGAGAGAGAGAGAGCGTGCACAAGGTGTGGGGGAGGGGCAGAGGAAGAGAGAATCCCAAGCAGACTCCCTGCTGAGTACAAGAGTCCATTGTGGGGCTCGATCTCATGAGCCATGAGATAATGATGTGAGCCGAAATCAGTCAGAAGCTCAGCTGACTGAGCCACCCGATGCCCCGAAGGTACTTTAACACCAGGTAAATATTGTCAATATCCTGAGGCTCCTGGGTAGCCTAGTTGGTGAAGTGTCAGACTCTTGATTTCAGCTCAGGTCATGATCTCAGCGTCATGAGATTGGGCCCCACATCAGGCTCTGTACTGGGCATGGAGCCTGCTTAAGATTCTCTCTCTCCCTCTGCCCCTTCTCTGCCCCTCCACTACTTCATGCACTCTCTCTCTCTTAAAAAATAATTGTCAACATCCTTATCAATCTTTCAATTTATTTGTTTACATCAGTATGAACTCATGATTTCCTATTTTATTCAATAAGTTATAGTCCATTATTTTCTTTTTTAAAAATTAATTCATATTTTTTTTAGTAATCTCTACACCCAGTGTGAGGCTTGAACTCATAACCCAGAGATCAAGAGTCGCATGCCCTTCTGACTCAGCCAGCCAGGCGCCCCCTTTATTTTCATTATTTACTTTGATCCTCAAATTGTTCCCTCTTTGGCCAGTGGGAACCTCTTCATGATGGCTTCCGTGTCTTTTTGACACGTCTTCATCATTTTTTGAGTACTTTTTTGCTCTTTGGAACAAGATGCTCTAGGTTCATCTTGTAATTTCCCTGCGACAACACTGGAATCAGCCATTTCTCTAAGTCCTGGTTCCTTTTAGAAGCCAAGGTTTGGATGCCAGGTGTGCTCTTTGCTACTTGGGTTTTGTTGCACACAGGCCCTCTCAGTGACTGTGTGTGTGTGTGTGTGTGTGTGTGTGTGTGTGTATTTCTATATCTGTCTATCTATCAAGATCCATGAATTCACATAGATATTGCCAGTCCAACTAATTTATGTTTCAGTTAAACAGCATAGGGTTTATTTCCTTATTTGTGACTCCCTTCTCAGTGAGAAACTTGACTCCTGTTATTCTTAATATATTTGCTTATTTGTTCAATCTCCTGTCATTGCTTCTGTCCCCTCTCCCACATGGTTGCTGTCCTCACGCTGCTTGAATGTTGCTAATCTCCCCCTGTGCTGCCCCCATCCATGGACACACTTCTCAAACTGCTCGGGCTCTGACTCCCCACACTGGACATGGAGGGGGTGTCCCCTCCATGTGGATTCCCTTATCACTTGCTCAGGCTCTGATACCCATACCAGGCCACCCATGTGCCTTTTCTTGCTCTGCTTTACCTAATAGTTCTAGTATTGAATAGTTCAGGAAGGGAGGAGGAGGAGAAGAGGAAATGCTCTCTTGACTTACTTTATTTACTTTTATTTTCTCAGTCTACCAAGAAGTTTAGAAGTAGGATAATATACATTTTCCTGAACTTGATTCAGGAATTTCCAGAGGGAAATATGGAACTATCTGGACACCTGGCCTAGGGATATCTACAAAGCTTTATTAGCCTCCTTCTTTTACTAATTTTTTTCTGAGACTTTGGACAAATTTCTAAGTCTTAATTTCCTCCTCTATAAAATAAATGTCACGTTATTTTCAGTCTGTATTTTGGGGGAAGCCTGGGGAAAGGTTACCTGAATAACAAAGATCAAATGGACATGATGTTTAAATTAGGATTTTGTCTTTTTCTAGAGGCATGATAAGCCCAAGATTGATATAAGACATCTTTAAGTAGAAAAAAACATGCATACCATAATTTTAAAAATCCCTAACAGATGCAAAAGGTTTATAGGTGTATATACTTTAATACATATGGGGTAAATTCTAAGAAATGGAATTTCTGGGAGTGTCGTGCTAGGAAAGCTATGTCAGAGGTGAGAGTATGTCCATGCATGGGGCAGCCTCAGTAGGACATAACTATCAGAGTACTGTCTTTATCAAGCACAGAGTTTTCATGTCTGTTACTTAATTTGACCCTTTCAGTCACTCTTTGAAGTTAGGCAAGTATTTGCTTTTAACAAATAAAAAAATTGAGGTTTCAGTGTGCTACACAGTTATTATTGGCTGAGCATAGACTAAGGCCTGCGTCTCCAGTATTTTCCATCACACCAAGGATAAGAACATGTGCCTCCCATTCCAGTCATGTGTTCTCAGAGAAGCTGTAGCTCTGAGAATGTTTTCATCTTGAAGGGATCCTGTACAATTTGTATGTTTAGAGAAGGCAGCTTATCTTCTGGGATCCCACTTTCTTCCTAGGGATACTTTTTTCTTAAGATCCTTAGAGTCCCTCCAGCAGCTATATTTTCTCCTGCTATATTGTAAAAGAATGACAGGATATTTTGGATATTATAGGCAGGGCCTAGTGCAGGAGGGGCTTAGTCATTTATTCATTTACCCATATACCACTATGTGATACTCACATATTATGTGTCAGGCACCATTCTAAATTGTTCCATACAGTGATGCGGAGGTTTAGTATATGCCCTCAAGGAACTGTCTTTACAGCCTAGTGGAGGAAACATAAGTAAAACCAATAATGTGAATTAAAAATGATGATAATTATAGTGAAAGTGGATATACATGGTAACTATTATAAACTCATTGGACAGATTCTTTCATTTGTCTTTGTCTATATCTAGGACAAATATTATTCTTTGCTCCTTAAATGTTGAACAAAAGGGTAGCACTGGGGGGCGCCTGGGTGTCTCAGTCATTAAGCGTCTGCCTTCGGCTCAGGTCATGATCCCAGGGTCCTGGGATCGAGCCCCGCATCGGGCTCCCTGCTCAGCAGGAAGCCTTCTTCTCCCTCTCCCACTCCCCCTGCTTGTGTTCCCTCTCTCGCTGTGTCTCTCTCTGTCAAATAAATAAATAAAATCTTTAAAAAAAAAAAAAGGGTAGCACTGGGAGAATAAATACATCTGCCTAGAAAAATTAGGGAATGTTTTTCAAAAGGTAGAACTGAGACATGAAAGATTTTGTTAGTCAGGAACATTTCCGAGAAAGGAAACTTGTATAAAGGCACAGAGGCTTGAAAAGTCGTGGTGTATTTGGGGAGTTAGTGGTTATTGCTATATTATGAAGTGTGAGGAGGGGGTTGGTGAGGCTGGACCAGTAGTCAGGGACCCCAACACAAATCTCCTTGTCTGCTATGCGAAGAAGTTTAGATTTTGACCCATAGGTAATGAAGCATCACTGAAGAATTTATAGTGTTTTCCCCAGTCTAGAACAGCCTAAAAATGGAGAAAATTAGAAAAGCATGACTAGGTAAATGATAATATTTGTCTAGAACTTCATATTTACAAGGCATTTTTCTGTAATCCATTGTGTTATTAAGTCTTCACAGTGGTCCTGCAAAGTGTAATTAGTATCCTTTAGTGCCTGATAAGGAAACCGTATCTAAGAGAGCTTTGTTCTTTCACGCTCACTCATTCTGCAGATGTTTAGGTGCTGTGCTGGGCTCTGGAGGTAAAGTGATAAAATGAAGTCACTTTCCTCATGGAGCTTGTGCTCTCCTGAGGTGATACGCCCAGCACCACAGCTAAGAAGTGGGGCTGGACTTGAACACAGATAATCTGAACCAAAATCCCAGGCTCTTTTTCTTATGCCCTGTAGTCTCTAAAGACCAGTTGAATCAGTGAATCATGAAAATGTCACTAAGTGCTTTTTGTTCAGATATGCTTATAGCTCTCAGATTTAGTCTTCTTTTCTCCTAACTGCCCAATCTGCTAAATTGTGATGTGAAGGGAGTTGATAAAAGTGGAAGTGTCATCCTTTGGGAATCCTGGTTATACTCCTTCCCCTTTAACTTGTCTTTTTCTAGAATCTGTTCCTGTAGTCTTATAAACGTGCAACTAACAAGGAACTCTGAAACTTGATTTTTTTATAATAGAAAAATATATAATATAGGGTTAATTTTCAGATTTAATTTAGATGTCACAGAAATATTTCTAGCAATTTAGAAATGGCTGTAATAGCTGAATATTTGTTGTATCTGTAGCAGTACCTTGATGATAACACTGTGGAAGCTATGACCTTTCGGAAGAATGCAAAGGAATTATTGCAACTGGCAGCCAAAACATTAAAGAAATTGGGAGTACGGTTCTGGCTGAGCAGTGGAACTTGTCTAGGTAAAATTCTTACTGCTTTACATTTGTCTTTTTGTCATTTCATCCTCTTTGGCTTTAGGGATGACTGCTTGAGATGACAAAACATCAGTGATATTTGAAGTGTCATAGAATAAATGTAGTGCACAGAGCAGGAATTTATTGATTTCTTTAAAGAAATTAATTTCAGAAACATAAAAGAGAGTTAGGAAGGCCATGTTGTGTTTACCAAAAACTGTAAGTCATGTATAAAATTTATATCAGAACATGTAGACTATATTTGATCTTCAGGCAATCCTTGGATTAGCATTTTATTATTTCTGTCCCCAAGATTGTTCTGCCTTTAAAAAAAAAAAAAAACCAAAAAAACCTCTATTCTCTTTCTTTACTTACTTACACATTTACTTACACAAATGAGAGAAAGACTGAAGGGAGTGCCATAAGGTCTTCCCACAAGTCTTTTCCAGGTCAAATAATATTTGTCTAGAACTTCATATTCTACTCTCACTGGTTGGACATCACTGCCTTACCAAATTCCATTCATCGTGAGATGGGGAAATGTACACTTTTCTAGAGTCCTTATGCAAGTTGCTGTTAGCATCGGAGGAAGATTTTTGGATCTCCTTCCACTATACATTAGATCAAACTTCTTGGAATTTAGAATTATTAAGAATCTAAATTCTGTTGTTTTTATTCCCTCTTGTTTATAACTATAGTTGGTCATAACTGTATTCTTTCTTGATTATAACTTTATTTGTACAAAAATTAATCCTCCTGTTTTTATAGTGTTACAATATAATTTATTGTCCAATTCGAGAGACTTTTAAGAGTGAAAAGGAGTACCATTAGTAATTATGTTGGTATGACAGATGTAAACTGGGATATATGATTATCCTATTTATTAGGCTTTGTGGAAATTCATGTGGTTCTTCCTGTCACAGAGCTTTTAGGTAGAGTAAGCCAAGAAAAAAAGAATGCATCTCACACATGTATGTGATATATGCTTTAAGGTTTAACTTTTTGAAGTAAGATTGTGTTATAAAACTATGTCATCAGAAATACTTCTTAATTACTTGTCATGTTTTATTATGCATTTTTAGCCCCATGGTTTTCTTCATTTAAGAGCAAAATAAAGGAGTTGAATTAGATGTTATTTAAGGAGACTTCCATTTTTTTTAAGTAGGCTCCATACCCAGCGTGGAATCCAGTGCAGGGCTTGAACTCACAACCCTGAGATCAAGACTTAAGCTGATATCAAGAGTCAGATGCTTAACCAACTGAGCCACTCAGGCGCCCCAAGGAGCCTTCCATTTTTAATAGTTTATGATTCTCTGATGGATGTGGAGTGTGGATTTTTCTCAAGCTAGAGATGAGATGCCATCCTAGACTTCTAAACATCTGTGTTACAATGAAATTAAAGTTTAGAATGCCAAACAGTGTTGCCCAATAGCAATGCCTATAAAGACAATCATAGGCATTTATATACTTTCTGAATAATTTGGATGAAAGAATTAGAAGGATACAGGGGAGACCCAGGAGCCCTTAGTAGTATTATGGTATAGATTTTGGTTTTTTAGAACAGTAGTTATAGCACCTAATTGAGAAGTAGGTACATAGTAAATATACCTAGAAATATCTTTTGATATTGACAATGTGCTGAAAATTGAGGATGATACTTCTCTTTTTTATATGACCCATCAGGGGCACCTTGTGGTGCAGTCAGTTAAGCAACTGACTCTTAGTTTCAGCTCACGTTGTGATCTCAGGATCATGAGACCCAGCCTTTCATTGGGCTCCATGCTCCATGGGGAGTCTGCTTGAGTTTCTCTCTCCCCCTCCCTTCTCCCCTCCTCCCCCCACACTTTCATGCTCTCTCTCTCTCTAAAATAAATATTTATATGAGCCATCAGACACGAGCTGTTCAGAGCTGTTAAGTTCTATAAATTATTGTTCAGGAAAGGGATACTGGTTAAGCAAAAGAATTAGATTATATTTTTTAGCATACCTTAAAGGCAGCCTTCATCATTAGAGGTTTATGATCAAACATTCTCAAAAGTAACTTAATTTTTTTAAATGGATGGCCCAGTTAACATTATTTTTTTAAAGATTTCATTTATTTATTTATTTATTTGAGAAAGGAGAGAGAGAACGCAGGGGAGGAGCAGAGGGAGAGGAATAAGCAGACTCTGCATGGAGTGTGGAGCCTGATGCAGGGCTCAGTACCACAGCCCTGAGATCATATCCTGAGCTGAAACACCCAACCGACTGGGCCACCCTGGCGGCCTGGCCCAGTTTACATTATTAAAGCTAATAGTTTATTTAGAAATTAAAATACATCATGAAAGTTTTTGAGGATGCTGAGTGCTCAGAGCAGTAAAAATGAAGGAAAGAAAAAAAAAGAAAGGTTCTTCAACAGATGGCTTCTTATAACCACAGATTTTAGTTTGGGATTTAATTTTTAGAAAATATTTTTGATAAAGCACTGTAAGTCTAATCTTAAGAAATAAAATCCACTCTTACAAAGATCATACGATAGTGACTAATTTTTTCCAAACTTAAGTTTTTAAAAAGTTTTCTTGTTTCTTTTCTTTTTTATTTTTAGGGTGGTATCGGCAATGCAACATTATTCCTTATAGTAAAGATGTTGACCTAGGAATTTTTATACAAGATTATAAATCTGATATTATTTCAGCATTTCATGATGTAGGACTTCCACTCAAACACAAATTTGGGAAGGTCAGTAGTAAAAATCTGCTTTACTTCATAAGTACCATGTCTCAAAAGTAAAGTTTATATTAAACAACTCAGATGGTTAAGAATGTTACATGTGTATCACTCAGTATTGGCCAGGCTGAGCTTAGCAGAAGCTTGTTATGTGACTTTTGCACTATTTAAGGAAACTAGAAAATCTGGCTTTCTTTTGACAATGAGAAGGAGAAAAGTATCTTGAACTATTGCAGGTGAATTTATTGCCATTATATTAGAAAACAATATAACGTAATTAGTATACCATGTAATGTAAAATTAATACAATTATTAAGAATCTCACCTACCCTACCTGAAATTATATTGTTTCTCATAAGTCACTTAATTTCATATTCACTTAGGCATCCTGTCATTATCAACATGAAATGGTCCTTTGGTGGCTAAGGGTTAGAAATACAGAATCATTTCAAATAGTACTTGAATTTCTTATTTATTTCACATGTTCTGGGTCATAGCAATTTTCTGAGTTCAACTAGGAAGGTCATCATGACTTAAATGAAATCTCCTTTTAGACAATTTGATTTCTATGCCTTAAGCCCATAATTCCTTGCAAACATCTTATTCTTTTATTTTTCTCCCCAAACAACATCTTACTCTTTTTTTCTTTAAATTTTTTATTGTTATGTTAATCACCATACATTACATCATTAGTTTTTGATGTAGTGTGCCATGATTCATTGTTTGTGCATAACACCCAGTGCTCCACGCAGAACACTCCCTCTTTAATACCCATCACCAGGCTAACGCATCCCCCCACCCCCCCTTCCCTCTAGAACCCTCAGTTTGTTTTTCAGAGATCATCATCTCTCATGGTTCGTCTCCCCCTCCAATTTACTCCCCTTCATTCTTACCCTCCTATCTTCTTTTTTTTTTTTCTTAACATATATTGCATTATTTGTTTCAGAGGTACAGATCTGTGATTCAACAGTCTTGCACAATTCACAGCGCTCACCATAGCACATACCCTCCCCAATGTCTATCACCCAGCCACCCCGTCCCTTCCACCCCCCACCACTCCAGCAACCCTCAGTTTGTTTCCTGAGATTAAGAATTCCTCATATCAGTGAGGTCATATGATACATGTCTTTCTCTGATTGACTTATTTCACTCAGCATAACAGTCTCCAGTTCCATCCATGTCGTTGCAAATGGCAAGATCTCATTCCTTTTGATGGCTGCATAATATTCCATTGTGTATATATACCACTTCTTCTTTATCCATTCATCTGTCGATGGATATCTTGGCTCTTTCCACAGTTTGGCTATTGTGGACATTGCTGCTATAAACATTGGGATGCACGTACTCTTTCGGATCCCGACATTTGTATCTTTGGGGTAAATACCCAGTAGTGCAATTGCTGGATCGTATGGTAGCTCTATTTTCAACTGTTTGAGGAACCTCCATGCTGTTTTCCAGAGGGGTTGCACCAGCTTGCATTCCCACCAACAGTGTAGGAGGGTTCCCCTTTCTCCGCATCCCCGCCAACATCTGTCGTTTCCTGACTTGTTAATTTTAGCCATTCTGACTGGTGTGAGGTGGACAACATCTTACTCTTAATTTGATTGTTCCCAGGACGGTGTTGTCCTGGAAAGTTAGTAAAAGTATGTTTAGTCACTGAAAAATTTCTTTATTGTAATTATTCTAGTTTATAAAAAATATTTAATAAAATATTTTCCAGAGGTCAGAGTCAAAGCAGTAGAACTCTAGGCATGCAAATGTTTACTCTACACTCACTTTCTGACTGGCACTGCACTCTGCACCTGGGACACAAAGATGAATAAGTTACAGTACTTATCTTTGAGGAGTTAACTGTCAAACTGGGGAAAAAAAACACATAGTAATTATGTGATTAGTGCTATAACAAGACAGAGGCACCAGGTCTAATGGGAACATAATTATTTGTAGATTAAGTTTCTTTAGGCAAATGCTCTCAGAATTCTTTGTATCTTTAACTTTTATTTTTTCTTTTTTCATATACATAATATAATTTATGGTATATAGATGGGTTTCTATGATGCCACATTTATTTAAGTACTTATTATTGATTGAGATGAGAGACTTATTTCCTAATAGTTTTTCTTGATTATTAAAGGGAATCACTTTTCTTTGGTTCCTTTCCTTCTTTACTCAGAAAAGGGCCCAGGAACAGAATGTTCTGCAGACTGGTAATTGAGCTACTGTAAATCATTTACTCTGAGTTTTCATTAATTATCAGAAGCAACATTATTTTATATGCATTTAAAAAAGAAATCAAATCTTGGCACGCTATTGATAAATCCCAACTTAAGAGATGTTCCAGCTTGAAAAAATATACTAGAATCAGTATTCTTTCTCTATAAAACAAAATCTTTTTTTTTAAAGAAAATATATTTCCTTCATTTCAGTCTGTGATGGTTTTCGTCTTCCTCCTAGGTAGAGGACAGCTTGGAACTATCTTTCCAAGGAAAAGATGATATAAAACTCGACATTTTTTTCTTCTATGAAGAGACTGACCATATGTGGAATGGAGGCACTCAGGCCAAAACGGGAAAAAAATTTAAGTATGAATCAGATAAGTACTTATAAAAGGGGATAGAGAAATAATTTCAGAAGGTAGAAATAGGAAGTAACTGAAAATGAAAAACAAACGAAAGACTGTCACAGCTTCACTCTTAGCTAACTTCCTCAGTTTACCCATAAAGCCCAATTGTGTTTGGAAAGTATGGACTACTTATAAGGACAGTGTAAGAGGAGGAAGTGCCCATGGGACTTCAGTCCAAAGAGTCATTACGATTAGAAGCCCTTGAGTCATTGGAAAGGGAAAACCAAAACAAGGAACACAAAAACCGAGCCCAGAACCTTAGCCAAAATACAGATTAGCTGTTAGAGTTATAGGAGCTTGTTAATTTGCTGGAAATTGATAAGGGTCAGTAAGAAGGAGATAGGGTGAAGTGAAGATTAAGTGAGGACACTGGAACTGAACTGTTCTGAGGCCACAAATGCTCCGCAACCTCAGAAATTAGCCTTTTAACAATGACTGAGGGCTGATCCTTAAGGCATAGTCATTGAGCTTAACAGCTACCATATTTTGTCAAATGTAAGATGATATGGATTGTAAGATGCACCATTATTTTATGTGCTACTCAGAAAGGAAAAATACTGCCAATTATAATTCTAAGACACATGATTCACAGATGGAAAAATTTGGGTGGGGGGAAATGTCTCGGAACTGATGGAGTGCAGTATGTTAGATTGACATTTTTAACATTTTTTTTAATGCTGCTACAGTAAAACTCTGTGATGAGAAAAGACAAAAATGACATTAGAGTAACAATGCTCTCCTTTATGAAGCAGTTGACCTATTCTCAATTCTGAGAGAGAAAGAGAAGGAGAGGCAAATGAATGGGAATGAGAACCCAAAGAGCATTGGCTTTGGAGTCAAGGCAGACCTGGGGAACCTTAGCTGCACCCTAACCTATTTGTGGCCTTTAGCTTTTCTCTGAACATTAATCTCCTAGTCTATTAAGTTTGGGTAGCGCTACTATGCATTTGACTGTTAGGAACATTTTGCATGTGTTAACACATCTAATCGTCAAAACAATCTTAGGAGACAGGTAATCTGTGAGGTGCTGAGAATGTAAATAGTTTGGTCAAGACCACACAGCAAGTAATGAAAGGACTCAGACAGACAGCAGCCTGTCCTTTAACCACTACTCCCCACTGTCTCCCTGATACACCTGACGATATGAGGCACCTGACATAATGCTTAGCACTCATTATCAGTAAATGATGGTTATCATTGTTACTGTTATGATTACTAAAGTGATTATCATTACTGTCATTATTATGGTAGTTATGTGACCAGAAGCTTAAATTTGCCTCACTAACTAGCTGAGATTGGAGCTTCTATCATAAATTTGAGCCATTGGGCAGAGTGGGGAGAATTCTGTGACACAGAAGAGAAATGCCATATGCAGACTGGTTTCTCCTGGGTACACTGACACACCCTCTTGGTATTGCTGAATCTTTATTTGAAGGCAAGGAGTCTTCATGTAAGGTAAATTCTGGAGGTTTGAGAGTAATCCAAACCTTTTTCTCAAAGTCATAAAGTATCCCCAAACTGACATTGACCCCAGAGGATATTCTTGAAACTTTTATTTAATATAAAAAATTATTTTGCTTTAGGACAACAACACATTCATGCTGGGTAAGCTCTGAATATAAGACAGAAATGAATAAGTTAATGAGTATATAATTGACATTTTCACTGTGACTAGGTGAATGGGGGTAAGTGTTTAGGACATTCAGCTATAATTTGTTTATTCAGATATAATAAAGAAACTGAATTTGGGACGGGTGCCTGGGTGGCTCAGTTGGTTAAGCGACTGCCTTCGGCTCGGGTCATGATCCTGGAGTCCCGGGATCGAGTCCCGCATTGGGCTCCCTGCTCAGCGGGGAGTCTGCTTCTCCCTCTGACCCTCTTCCCTCTCGTGCTCTCTATCTCTCATTCTCTGTCTCTCAAATAAATAAATAAAATCTTTAAAAAAAAAAACTGAATTTGGTGGTGCCTGGGTGGCTCAGTTGGTTGAGTGTCCAACTCTTGGTTTCAGCTCAGGTCATGAGATGGAGTCCTGTGTCAGGCTCCGTACTTGGCATGGAGTCTGCTTGGGATTCTCTGTCTCACTCCCTCTTCCCCTCCCTCTTGTGCTCGCTCTCTCTCACTCTCTAAAATAAATAAACCTTTAAAAAAAAACCACAAAAAAAGCTGAATTTAATGTGTAATTTAGAGGCTTCTTTAAAAACTGTAAGATAGTGTAGCACAGCAATTAAAGGGATGGAGCCAGTCTACTTGCTTTTGAACCCCAGCTTTATACTTTACCAGCTATTTTACCTTGGGCAAGTTATTTAACCTCTCTGTGCCTAAGTCTCCTCAAGTGTAAAATGGGAATAATAATAGAAATTGCTACATAGAATGGCTTTAAGGATTATGTGAGTTAATACAAAAAAGGGTTTTGAAGAGAATTAAAGATGTCCTGAGTGTGAAGTAATTATTAGCTGCTATTACTACTACTATACTAGTAGGACAGGGGTAAAGAAAACGATCTCTCTTCATAGTCTTATGAGAAAATTACAGATTAGGTACATATATCATCAGCTCAGTATTAAACTGCCAAATCTATTCTTAGAGGAGTTATATGAGGATGTCACCTTTTTTTCTAAGAAAGATACTTTCTAGAGCCAGTATTGTTATTCTTTTATTCTTAAATTTCCTTCTAAGACTTGAATTTCTTTCTTCTCACTGACATGATCTGAAACCTACGAACTTCAAAAGAATGGTTCATTTCTAACCACTACATTTCTGCATAGAAAGAGCTTCTTTCATTCTGCTTTAACTGCTCTTTATGGTAGCAGTGTTTGGGAAGTGTGAAGTGTTCTAATTATTTAACAAGAGAAATGAGCAGTGATGGAACTGTCTGGACAGATGGTGTGAGTCCCAGATTTTCTATCCTGTTACTGTGACCTTAAAAGGCAGAGAAAAGAACAGGGGATGGCTGTGTAGAGTAGTTTCTTTGGAAGATTCCCCCGGCCATATGCCATTTTCCTTCTTTTAGGCACTATTTACTTGAAGGAAATAAAGTATTTTCACCACTACTGTTCCTAGACGGGGGAAAAAAAACCTATTAAAGCTAGTCTAAAGGTCTTTTTATCTGTATAGTATATTACTTTGTATTCATGTATAGCTTATTCTGAGAAAAGCTTAATAATATAGATGCTTACCATTTGGGGGAAAAAAAGGCTGAAGAGGAACTCAGGAAGGAAGAAAAAAGTTCCCCCTTTTGCAACTTTACTCTGCATGTCTGCAGAATGATGTTTTCGGTCCTCAGATGTAATAATAATATTGGCGGCAATAATAAAAACAGCTGTGAGGGTATCAGCTGGTTATCTGGCACATGATCGGTACTTTACCTTTGTTATCTCAGTCCTCACATTATGTCTGTGGGTTAGGTGTTCTCACTCCCACTTAGGAGAAAACTAATGCTCAGAGAAGTGAGGTAACTTGCTCATTAATGGCAGGACCACGATTTAACTCCAGAGCTGTTGGACTCTTCAGCCTAAGTGCTTATTTCTAAGACTTAATAGGTTGAATGAGTTAATACCTGAAATGCATTTAAAACAGTAGGTGGCACATAGGAAGTGCTCTGTGAACGTTAACTACTGCTGCTACTATCATTACAGTGTTATTACTACTATTACTGCTACCATGTTACTCTGACACAAAGCATGGTACCTTCAACACAGTGGTAAATTGGATTAGGTACTCCAGTGGGCTCTGAATTTTTTATACTTATATTTCTTCTCCAGAGTCCCAGTCACTAGTAATAAAAAGTGAACTGTGCCACCAGGATGTGATGTTTTATTCCATAACGTCACAGTTGCTACAGATGGCTGCCCAGGTTTCTTGGGGTTATTTCTTTCCGTTCCATCTGAATCAGTTGACGTAAGTAGAGGCCAGAAGTTGGAGAGGCAATAATAAAAATTAACTTTGAATATTTGCTATGTGCCAGGCACTATGCCAAGCTTTTATATGCATCTCATTTAATCTTCACAAGCTTATGAGGAAATTCTTAATCTTGTCACCTTCATTATATAGATGTGGAAATTAAGGCAGCGCTAAGACTCAGACATGGGGCCATATCACTTTAGAGCCTGGATTCTTAGATAATACACAATGTTAGTGTCACCATGGTCAATATTGATAATATTCCTTCTATGAAAATAGCCCTTCTACTCAGTGATATTATCAGGGTAATACAGCTACCTCTCTAACCTCTAATAGGAAATATGCTACCCCCTGGGCTACTAGTGGTTCCTTATATCTTCTGATATTTGTAGTTTCTGCTTATTGTACAGATCTTCAGAAAATTTGGGTTTGTTCTCTTTGGGACTCCTGTCCAGGTGTGCCTCCTATATAATGTAATGTTTCATTTCTGCAGAGCTTATTTACTAACCCTGTATGCTAAGGATTCTCACATGAACATACTTAGGTTCTGCTCTCAAAGTTCTCATAATGAGGACCATGAAACAGATTATTAAAGTACTTTATCAGTAGTATAGTAATTGAAGTATGTGTTGTATATAATTGAGATACCAAATCAAAGTCTGTCTAGAAGCAACAGCAAGGAAGTGTGGCTTAAAAATAAGAGAAGTTTGTTAGGTAGACTTGGTAGGAATATGGAGAAGGGCTTGATAATATTTTTGCTTAACTATTTTTCTCTTTAGACTGTTCCTAATTTTTTTCTTATTAAAAATTCCGTGAGTGTCTTTTTTACATAAAGTAAAAGCCTTGTTAGGGAGTTTCTTTGACTAGATTCCCAGAAATGGAATTATTATTGTTTGTGCTGTTTAAGAAGTAGAAAGGGTAAGTGGGCAATGTTCAAAGTCCAAGATTTTATTCCTCAGTCTCTACCTTTTCCTTTGACTCCTTAGGACTCTTTAAAGTTACAGGGGCTTCCTCAATTCTTTTTTCTGTTTTAGGGTCTAACCCAAGATACCACATTGC